ATAAAGTAGTAATTAGTAACTAACTTGTGAGGACATACTCAAAGTATTTATGCAAATCTTATTTTTTCATCAAGCTTTCACCCACTAATTTTAGCATCTACTGATGATTCATGCCTGATATAATTGTTATTGTGGTGTTTGTCAAATAGTGATTTTCTATTTCAATCATTCCTTCTACATTAAGACTTCATTAGACTTCTTCTTTGATGAGGGCTTTGCCTTCTCCCCTATTCATTCACTCATTTATTCATTCATTTGTATATTTCTATATGGACTCATGAATTTTTTAATTTTTTAATGTTTATTTTGAGAGAGAGCACGTGTGAGCAGGGTGGGAGGGGCAGAGAGAGGGAGAGAGAGAATCCCAAGCAGGCTCCCTGCTGTCAGCGCAGAACCCAACTCAAGGCTCAAACTCACGAACCGTGAGATCATGACCTGAGCTGAAATCGAGTGGGACGCCCAACCAACTGAGCCACCCAGGCGCCCCATGAAATGTTATTTTATGGATTATAATTCATTCATTATTTATTGTGTTGCTCAAATTGTCACAGATTTAGACATTAGGAGATCCTTCAAGTGGCTTCTTTGTGCTTCTAATGTTTCTTTCATTTTTAAGCCCTTGATTCTCTGGTCCTAGCCCTGGCATCAACCATTTCTCCAAAGAGGCAATGATATGTTTAGATAGACAGATAGATGATAGATGATGATAAACAGATGATAGATAGGTGATAGATATAGATATTTTGTATATCAGCAATAGGTTTATATATAACAGCTTTACTGAGATACCATTACCTCTAAAATGTACATAAGATATATAACACCTTTATTGAAATGTAATTCACATATCATACAATTCACCCATTTAAAGTATACAATTCAGTGTCTTTTAGCATATTCACAGTTGCCTGACATTATCACAATATAAATATAAAATATTTTCATCACCTCAAAAAGAAAACCTCTACCCATTAGTAGTCATTCCCCATTTCCCTCCAACCTCCCCCCACACCACTTCCCTTAGTAACCACTAATCTATTTTATGTTTTTATAGATTTGCCTATTCTGGACATTTCATAGAAATGAAATCATACAATAGGTATCTTTTGTGTCTAGATTCTCTCATTTAGCAAAATGTTTTCCTTCTTTTTGAGAGAGAGGGTGTAAAAGCAGGGGAGGGGGCAGAGGGAGAGAGAAAATCCTAAGCAGGCTCTGCACCATTAGCATGGAGCTTGATGCGGGGCTCGATCTAACAAACCATGAGCTCGTGACCTGAGCCGAAATGAAGAGTCGGTCACTCAACCGAGGTGCCCCTAGCAAATGTTTTCAAGGTTCGTCCATATATTTGTAGCATGGGTCAGAACTTCATTTTTATTGCCAAATAATATTCCATTGTACGGATATACCACATTTTATTCTCAGTTATGGACATTTGGTTTGTTTCTATTTTTGGCTATGAAAAGTGAAGGGACATCTGGGTGGCTCAGTTAAGCGTCCAACTCTTGATTTCGTCTCAGGTCATGATCTCACAGTTCATGTTCTAGTTTTCAATATACAAGTCTTTGGCCTCCTTGGTTACATTTATTTTTAGGTATTTCTTTTAGATGCTATTGTAAGTGGAATTGCTTTCTTAATTTCATATTTGAAATGTGCTAATGTATAAAGCACAACTGATTCTTATGTGCTGATCTTGTACCCTGCAACTTTGCTGAATTTATTAGCTCTGTGCCTTTTCTTAACATGATCATGTAGGGTTTTCCCTTTGTTCTATCAATGTAATGTATAACTTGAACCAGTTTTCTGATGTTGAACCATTCTTGCATTCCTGACACAAATCCCACTTGATTGTAGTGTATTATTTTTCTTTTAATATTTGTTTTGAGAGAGAGAGAGTGCAAACAGGTTAGGGGCAGAGAGAAAGGAGAGAATCTCAAGCAGGAGACCAACGTGGGGCTTGATCTCACAACCGTGAAATCCTGGCTTGAGCCAAAATCACGAGTTGGACGCTTAACCGAGTCACCCAGGCGCCCCTAATCTTTTTATATGCTCTTGGGTTTGGTTTGCTAGTATTTTGTTGAGGATTTTTGCATCTATATTCATGAGAGATTGGTCTGTAATTTTCTTGTGATGTCTTTATCTGGTTTTAAGATCAAGCTTTTCCATTTTTTTTTTTCATCCCCTCACCCACCTCCCCTCTGGTAACCATCAGTTTGTTCTCCATAGTTGAGTCTCTTTCTTGGTTTGTCTTTCTTTGCTCATTTAAGTTCCACATGAGTGAAATCATATGGTATTTGTCTTTCTCTGACTTTTTAAAATAAGTTTATTTTGAGAGAGAGAGATGGGGGGAGAGAGAAGGGGAGGAAGGCCAGAGAGAGAGCGCGAATCCCAAGAAAGCCCCACGCTGTCAGCACAGAGGCTGATACAGGGCTCCATCTCACAAACATGAGATCATGACCTGAGCTGAAACCAAGAGTCGTAAATCATTGGGGGCCAGAGAATAGTTTCCAAGATGGCACCAATGATCTTCACCTCCTGGTATTCACATCCTTATGTAATCCCCTTCCCTCGAGTGTGGCTTGGACCTAGTGACTTACCCCTAATGGATAGAATATTGCAACAGTGATGGGATGTCACTGCAGAGATTAGGTCATAAAGTGACTTCCATCTTGCACTCATGCAATTCTCTGTCTCATCTCGACTGGTCTGATGAAGCAAGCTGCCATGTTGTGAGCTGCCCTATGGAGAGGACCACATGACAAGAAACTGAGGGCAGCTTCCAACAGCCAGTGAGGAAGTGAGGTCCTCAGTCCAACAACCCACAAGGAACTGAATCCTGCCAACACCCACATGAGTAGGCTTGGAAGCAGATCCTTCCCCAGTTGAGCCTTGAGATGACTGCAGCCTCAGCTGACACCTTGACTGCAGCCTGTGAGGCCCTAAAATTGAAACCCAGCTAAGTAGTGCTGATTCCTGACCTACATTATCCATGAGATAATGTCATGGTTTTAAGCCATTAAGTTTTTGGAGTAATTTGTTACTCAACAATACATAATGAATACAGGCAGGCGTGAAGGTTATGTACAAGTTCAACAATAAGGACTTCTACCTACCAAGGCCAATCTGGCTGTTGCTCAGCATTGCTGAGTTCCTACCTGCCAACAGCAGAGATCAATGATGAGCCCCCGCAATGAAATATTTCCTGGGTGCAGGCTGATTACTTTGGACCCCTTCTATCATGCGGCACAGAGCAGTAGGTTCATAGAGACTTGGGAATCCCAGCTCTGTGGGTCTGATATGCCCAGACAAGGCCTATTCTTTGAGGGTTCTGCTTCCTGCATGTCTGACAGGCACTTTGTGAAATGTCTCTCATGGAGCTGGCACCCAGCAGGGGGCTCACAAGGGAGGCTGCTCCCTTTCCTTTCCGAGGAGTGCCCCAGGGGCAGGGGCCCTATCTGCCTCGAAATCCCTCTTCTCCCATCACCACAATTTCAGGAGTTCTGAGAAGCATGGTCAGTGTCTGCTCCTTCATGCCCCCAGTGACCATGGTCCTGGACCCCAGACCCCACTTCCACAGGGTAACATTGTTACCAATGAGATTCATGCAGTGCAAAGAGGATAGAGTTCCTATGCAGTGGGGCTCCAAATGCCGCTCCTGTCTCCCTCCTTCTGAACCCAGACTGATTTGAAATGGGGACAGAGGACTTAGGCCTGGGCCTTGCCTTCCCTCCAGGAGCTCCCAGGATGGTGGGAGAGACAGATCCATTAATCCTAGAGTGTTTCAGACAACAGGTAATGCACAGTGGAAGCACTAGAGGAGTAAAGGTGTGTGGTTGGGCTAAGTCTTCAGTGGAAGTGATGTCGCTTCTCATCCTTGTCACCTGCAGACTCAGGAGCCATCCTGAATGATGTGGCAACCTCTGGGAGGATGCAGCAGCAGCAGCAACAGCAGCAGCAGCAAATAGGGTCTATAAAAAAGGACTTTTGAGGGTGAAGATGCCCTCTTCTTCCCAGGTCCTTTCTTCCCATCTCCCACTCTGTCCCCCACCCACCCCCGACTCCTCCTTTTCTAGGTGAGTGCTTCGGCAAGGGGGACATATGTGCCACCAGAGCAAGCTATCTGGAAGAGGCCATGTTTGACCTGGGTCTTGCATAATCAGAGCCGGGGCCTCTCCAGAGCTCATGGGATGCATGCCGTGAGGAATGGCACAGGGCAGTGCCAAGATGGAAAAGGCTGTCTGCAAACTGCTGAGGGCTGGGCCATACCCTGGAGGACCCCAGACTGGGGCCGGCAGTTTGCTAGCCCGCAGGTCATAGGTACCCTTTCCCCCACCTGTTGGGTTACTTCTGGGGGCAGACTGCCTTGCAGTGGGGAGTGGGAGTGAAGTGCTGAGACTGAGCCCCTTCCTGTCCCTTTTGTAGCACTCAAGCCTGCCTCTTCTCTACGGTGTCTCCTCCAACCCTCCTTTCATGATCCATTCCAAGTAAGTGGGCAGACAGGCCAACCTTTCCCCCTAGATTGGGGCCTGGGTTGAACTGGGCCCAAGACAGGGGTATTCATTGGCTCCTGCCTCCCCTTTAACTTGTACAGCCCAGTGCCTCCTGACCAGAAGGCTAGAGGCAGGGCTTAGCCAGATCTTCCCACCAAAGCAGCCAGAAAATGGTGGGCTTTCTCACTCATCACTAGGTTCCCATCAACTGGAAATCTTGGGAAGGAGGAGAAATGGAGCAAAATGAACCCAGTGAGGGAGCAAATGAGAAAAGGGAGAGTAGTGATGGCCCCCGATCTAGTCTAACACCCTCATTTTCCCTCATTGTCAAGACTCTGGGGCCCGGAAGGGGGAAAAAAAATCTGTCCAATATAAAGGCACCATTGACAACTCCATTTAAAATCGAATTCAGCTTGAAACCATTATGTTAAGCGAAAGAACACAGTCACAAAGGATCACAAATTGTATGATTCCATTTATATAAAATGTCCAAAATAGGCAAATCCATAGAGATTAGTGGTGGCCTAGGGTCAAGGGGCGGGGGGAGGGCAGGGGAAGGGTGATGCCTGGGGAGTGTGATTTCATTTTGGAATGATGAAAACATTCTAAAATCTTTTGCAATGACGGTTGCACAACTAGAATATACTAAAAGCCATTGTACTGTATACTTTAAGTGGGTAAACTGTATGATATGTAAATTGTATCACAATAAAGCTGTAAAAGTGAACTTGGGCTGCAAATGACCACACATCTGAGCTTCAGTCTCCATTTCACAGGGGCAGAAAAAAACCCTTTAGGGTATAGACAAATCAGGGAAGCGTCCCTGAACATGGCATATGGGTGGGTCAGACAGGAAAGCATTCCACAAAGAATGAGATTATAAATATAACCTTGATCTTAAGGGCAATGAAGCATCATGGATGGTTTTAAGCAGCAAGAGTGACAAGATCACATCTGTACTTTAGAAACATCCCTCTAAATCACTGAGTTTTACATTTAAAGCAGGTAAATTTTATGATGTAGAAATTATACCTCAATAAAGCCAAGACCAAAATTCCCCTCAGGGGCTTGAGGAGGACAGACCGGAGGGCATGAAGTTGGAGGAGGCCGTGGCAGAAGTTTAGACGAGGTGGCAGGCCGTCCGTTGGGAGATGGGGGAAAATGGCTTGGGGGGTGGGGTAGGGGGAGACTCAGGACGTCTTGCCCTCAGGTAAGGAGAACCCGGTAGAACTTGTTTTCAGAACCCAGAGCTCCCAGACTTCAGCCCTAGTGCTCCTCCGCCGCTGACGGGTGATGGAGGCACTGTTCTCCCCCTTCAAAGAGAAATACACTTCAGAAACATGTTTCCAAAAAATGTTGCTAAGGGTTTTATTTCTAACAAGAGGAAAATAATAAAATAAAATTAAAATAGGCTTCAGTTGGAACCAAGTTTCTTTTTTTTTTTTTTTTTGAACAAATTAATTACACACCAACAATCTTCTTTTATTACAACATGAACCCAGGAGGAGGAAAGGAGATGGGATGGGACAGGGAGAGAAGGTCAAGGTGGTTGTGAGGACAAGCACCAAAAGCTTTCTTCAGATCATGGGGAGCTCCCCAGCCAAATTCATTTAAAATAAAAAACTGTGAGCACAGCTATGTGAAGTTTCCTCCTCCTGGGTAGACCAGTCAGGG